ATTTAGCTTACGTATTAATACCTCCAGTTCTTCCTCTCTCTTCCCCATACTCATGCATTTGTGAATAGACGTCTAGACGATTGAGCAGATTCCCCCACTGATTTTCCTCTTGTTGCTTCTATGACCCTACTGTAATTTTCCGTGTCCCACCCCCAACATCTAGCCCTCTGTTAAGGTCACATTTTTTAACGCTTACCTGTGGGCTTTCATCACCTGCCCACTTTGAACCTAGTTTAAAGCCTTCTTCACTAGGTTGGCAAATTGGTGCATGAAGATGCTCTTCCCCTTCTTGGCCAAGTGGACCCTATCTCCTCCCAGTAGTCCCCCTTCCTGGAACAGCATGCCATCAGATGCAGGTGCCAGACAGGCAGTACATCTCCTGAGACATCCTGTCAGGTACCTCCATCCCCCTCAGCAGGGAATCCCTGACCACCAGCACCCTATGCTGCCTCTTGGATGTGGCAGCTATAAGCCTCCCAGCCTTGGGGGTAGGTGACTCCTCCTCCACAGCCACTGGGGTCTGCTTCTTACCTCCAGTTGCTAGTACAATATACCAGTTCTGCATCTCAATGGATGGGGGACCTGGATGGCATGTGGAGCACTGTATACTGCCCAAGATGGCCAGCAGGTTAGATTTTGTCTCATTACTCCCTCTAGACCAGTGGTTCTCAACTGTGATCCACCGTTTGTTCAGGGAAAGGCCCTGGCACGCTGGTCCAGTTTGTTTACCTGCCGCGTCTGAAGGTTCAGCCGATTGCGGCTCCCACTGGCTGTGGTTCGCCGTTCCAGGCCAATGGGGGCTGCAGGAAGGGCGGCTGGCACATCGCTCGGCCCGCGCCGCTTCCCGCACTCCCATTGGCCCAGGGCGGCGAACCGCGGCCAGTGGGAGCCGCGATCAGCTGAACCTTCGGACGCGGCAGGTAAACAAACTGGACCGGCATGCCAGGGGCTTTTCCTGAACAAACGGTGGACCACAGTTGAGAACCACTGCTCTAGACCCACCCAGGTGTCTTCGTTTATGTTTAAATGGAATGTCCATGGCCCAGGTTTAAAACAACATGGTTTTCTTGGAAGAAAAAAGCTTCATTTTCTATTTCTCGACAAATGATTTGTTCTCAGAAACATTAAGGCTAAGTTTGACACTTAAATCCTTAATGTAGTCACAGGCCAGCTAGAAAGGGGCGGGGGTTTAGAATTAGTAGAATTCACTGTTTGTGGTGGTTGAATCCATGCTCTTTCCTTTTTGGGGGGCAGGAGGGCTAATAATGATGGTGGTGACAACCACCACCATTGACATCTGTTTCTTGGGTACCCCGGCGTACTATCCTAAGACCACAAATATTGCAATTTGATGTTCTAACTACATTTAAATAATGGTCCCAATGATGGAAGGCTGGTGCTTTCTCAAACACATACCTGGCAGCCATTGCGTACATTTTAAAAAATTTTCTTCAAATGGAAACTTTTCAGAATAGCTCAGGCTTTCCAAGGCAGCAGCAGCTGTCCTCTGAGATGGCGCAATAGCAGATATAAGTTCTTCAGGATGCCTTCAGAGCCCAAACCCATTGGCAGCAATGCTTTCTGAGGTGGCCTCTTTTTCTAATCCCACTAGCCAAGACCACTAACCTCAGAAACAGGATAGACCCTCAAACTGTAGTACCTATTCTCAACAGCAGCAGCAGCAGGGCCCTGACTCCCCTAGTAACACAGATTCTATGAAACCACACCTATAGACCAGGGGAGAGAGAGGGACCGTAGAGATTTTAAAGAGTTGTCTCAAGCTTGATTACAGAAGTAGCACTGGATCTTTTTCAAGGTGACTCAGGGGCCCCAGCAGTAACATAAGAGACATTTCAGGCAAGGAGGAAGCATCATATTCCATGAAAGGAGGCAAATAAATGGCAGGTGAGCCTCTCTCTGTTTTTCTTACATTAGTGCTGATAAAGTGGAAACCTTGTCAATTGTCTTTCCTGGCTGTTTCGGCAATATGTGCAGAAAAAAGCTCAAGTTGCTCACTCCAAGGAAGCTATTGTGTTACTATGTACATTTTGCATGAATTAAGTGTGATATTGTCCTCTTAATCTCTGTTGGGTTAAAATATAGTATCAATGTCAGCATAATGTTCAGTCAATTAAGGACTAGACTATGATTCTTCTCTTCTGTTTAAATTGTATCTTGCAGTGTGTACTTGTGGAGAAAATACCACTAGACTTCATGGCATTCCTAACCATCTGCTTTTGTAAATATCAGAGTTGCGTGTGCAACTACAGTAACAGCACAGGCAAACTAGGTACACAATAGCACCTGCCTTTTTGAAAATCTAGCTTTAAATATTTCATGACACTTTCTGTGATAGTGGGAGTGTTAGCATGTTATTCAGGTCATATTCCAGTGAGGGTAATTCTCTTTGCCTACCTGAGACTACAAGAGGAATAACAAATTTATTTGAGCATAAACTTTCGTGAGCTACAGCTCAATTCAGTGGATCCACTGAATGCATCCGATGAAGTGAGCTGTAGCTCATGAAAGCTCATGCTCAAATAAATTGGTTAGTCTCTAAGGTGCCACAAGTACTCCTTTTCTTTTTGAGAATATCGACTAACACGGCTGCTACTCTGAAACCTACAAGAGGAATGTTATTGCATTTATTATCTTCTTCATTTCATGTCAGGAAGTATCGACCGATATACCCCTCCAATGTTCCATCCCATTAGTAGCTTCACTTCAATAGTGGATGAAGACGCTATATAAATGTAATATATTCAATATCAGCTTTTAAACGGTTATTATTTGTACCTGGTGGAAGTCGCAATGTGTGAAATGCTTTCCAAATAAAGACAAAGGCACATTATCTGCCCCAAAGAGCTTACATTCTTAAAAATGACAAAACAAAGAGAAGTTGGCCCAAAGATATTATGTCACCCATCTTGCCTTTCAAAACTAAGAGACATGAAAAGTAGAGGAAGGGGGACCAAAAGTGCCAGCAAGTGTTGGCTACATTATGATAATAGTGAGCAGAAGGATAGTCCAGTGGTTAAGGCACTAACCTAGGACTTGGGAAACGGATTCACCACTGATTTCTTGTGTAACCTTCTATAAGTCACTTAGACCCAGATCTTTAAAGATAGTGGGATGTAGGCTCCCAAGTGCCTAAATCCCTTTTGAAAAATGAGGGTTAGGTGCCTAAATCAGTGAGACATTGCAACTCTGAGCGCAGCAACACCTACATATCTTTAAAAACCTGCGCCTAAGTGAAATGCTGAAGGGTAAAAAGGCCTCTTTGTGCCTCCTTCCTCATCTGTACAGTGGGAATAATAGCACTTTTCCCTACCTCACTGGACAAATTAAAGGACTGAGAGCTCCTCAAATGCTATAGTAATGAGAGTCCTGTAGATACCTAGATAATACAACACATGCTTAAGAAATAAAACATATAGTACCAGTATACTGAACCCCACATGGCAGCCATGTCCCAGGCCTCACAGCAGAGGTGAGTTTCTAGGAGAGATTTGAGGCAGGAGGGGGTAGTAGCTTTGTGGACTAGCTCAGGAAGGATGTCCTGTGAATTGAGGCAAATCTGGAGCTGGTTGGTGGAGAAGCTGATTAAGGGGGTCTGGAGGCTGGTTGCATTGGTAGTGTGGTCAGTGGGAAGTGCATAAAGGGACTTGGATGGATGGCTTTGTAAGATTATTTTTCCCCATGAGCAAGATTGAGCAGAATAGAGGCCTCTGAAGATGGACACAAAATTTCTCTTTCCTAAAGGTACCCTAGTCCAGAGAGGCCAGTCCTTGTTTGCTGGATAGGTCCAATCCAAAACCTGCCTACTGTCCTACACCGGACTTAGTGAAAATCCACAGATGATTGAAATTGAAGGAGTGAGAACCGTATGAAGCAGTGGCTGGGGGCAGAGCAGGGGCTGGCTGGGATGCAACAGACCCTCCAGAGCACATAAAACAAGTGCAATGACCTGAACAATCCCAGGAGTGGGGAGGGAGGATCCAGGAGGAAGAATTTTATTCAGCATAGAAAAAAATGATAGCCTGGGGAAGGAAGCTGGCTGAACAAGGCTGCCCTAGGCAGTTTGCTGCTTTCAGCAAATTTCTGGCCATACCTCTATGGTCCATACTATCCACCCCTTTAAAAACAACAGCCTCCTGTTTGCCATTTAAGCTCTCTATTAAATTAAGGCCCTTTTGTATCCCATGTGTTTGTTCTTTTCACTTTCACTTTTCATTTCCTCCTCTCTATTTTCCCCCTTCTACTACATCTCTCCTTATCTCTTCCACCAGATTTGTAAAGTCTAGTTTGCTGTATTGTGAAAATACTCGGTCCCTTTCCTTCCTTCTCTTCTTTTCCGGTGTGTCCCCCCCGGCCTTCTCCCTTCCCCTCCTCTGTTCCTCCTTTCTTCGCTCTGTGGATTCCCCCTCCCCAGGCTCTCTGAATGGATTCATCCCCTTCCAGCCTCTCTCACATACTCTCCTACTGCCCTTCCCCAAACCACTTTTGCCCCTGCACACGCCCACTTGTTTCACCCCCCTCCCCGCCCCAAATCATCTCTCCCTCCTACACGCTCCCCACCCAGGCACATGCAGAATTCCTTATCAAAGGCTCCCACCCTGAACTAAAAACCCACCAACGCAGCTAAAGGCTCTCCCCACAACACATGCACCCCCCCCTTGCATGCACATAGGCATAGGCTCCTCTCTGCACTCCCCAAAATATGTAGCCCCCACCCCGCTTTCAGATGCGGCCTCCCCTCTCTCCAGCTCCCCAGTGCCCAGGGTTCTCTCATCTCTTGCTCCTGACCGAGCTCCCTCTCTGACCCCCCTCATCCTGCTTGCATTACAGGAGCCCTTCCCTGCTGCAAACTCCCCGCGTTCCCCGGGTTAATAGTGCTGCCAATTACAGGGCAGTGTCCCCCCCGTCCCACACCCACCCACCCTTTTGCTGGTTGCAGGAGGGCGCTCCTCCTCCCTCAGGCAGGACCCGCCTCCAAGCAGCAGGTGGCTGCTGAGAACAGGAAGTTGACATTGTTCATCTAGTTAATTTCACACTCTTGTCACTGAGCTGCTGTGTGACAGGGGGTAGGAGCGGGGGATCACTCACCCATCACACAGACAGCCGGGGACTCCTCACCTCACCGTCCCATTCCGGATTATTTAGACAGACCAGAGTGGACCTTGCTTGAAAAGTGCCGCTGACTGAGCTGAGAGGTGATAACAGGAGCTCGGGAGATTTTTTTTTTTCTTTTTCAACTCCCGTTTCCCCTCATACTTGGAAGGATCTTGGGTTTTGGTGGGCGTGAAATTTACAGCTTTTCAGCCAGGGAGGTGAACTTTTTTGCCCCCATCTCCTCTCTCTGTTAATAAAGCAGGACTTGGCCAGGCGACACAGATGAGTTCCACCCATAAGGATCCGGAGTTTGACTCACAGCACGGGGACCATGACCCAAATCAAAATGTCAGCCCTCAAGAGGAATTCGACTTCTCGATATTATTCGATTATGATTACTTGAAGTGTATAGAAGGTTTGTGGCGACTACGCATTAAAAAAAAAAAACAGCTTAAAACCCCGTGCCCCTGGATATGTGAAATAATGGCTTCAAAGTACGGAGAGTGTATGTACTATGTAGGGCTTTGTGTCCGGGATGAGCCTGGTCCTTCTAGAACTTGGGCAGAAGTAACTGTATTTCAGGGGAGGGCTTGATTGCGCTCTCGGGAGAGATCAAGTTGTTTTCTCCAGTTAACCCTAAGGGGGCGGTAGGGAAATAATACAGTCTCTGGTGAGGTTACAATATCCGTTGTGGACCGTTCTTTGAGCTTCTTTGCATTAGCAAAAGGAAAGGAAGATAAAGAAAACTTCACATGCTACTCATCGTGCAGTAGCAACAGTGTATCCGTTAGACTATTTGCTTTGGTTGTAATGGGATGAATGACTAGAGAGCTGGCAGATGAATTTAATCACAATGGCAAAACACAGCCAGTGAACCCATGTAATATATACTGCCTTGTGTTTTTAAAAAATTGGGTAATGCAGAAGAGAGCGAACCGTGATTTAAACTGTGTCAGATCATTTCAATTTGTTGTTTTTAAACACTTCCTTACTGTGGCTCCCATCCTGCAAAGACTTACCCACCTGCTGAATTTTACTTGTATGAGTTGTTCACCATTGTAACGTTACATGTGCATAAATTTTTGCAGGAGTGAGGCCTAAATTATACTTTACTGGAGTGACTAATAGTGAGGGAAATGATTATTTTACAAGTTAGTTTTAGGTGAAATGTGTGGTTGCTTTAAAATTATTCTAGTGTTCAGATCCTTTATAAGACGATAGCAACCAATCGCTAAGGCAAGGTAGATTGGCTACATCTAGTGACTTGAATGACTGGAGGCACTCTCCTGCCCTTTCTAAAATACTTTGCACATCAGTGTCAATCATGCACATTTATGCAATGGAATTGACTATAGTTGAGGATGCCGTACTATACTCCCTATGACTAGCATCATCTTGAAGAGGGTATCTTGAAAGTTGAATTTAAAACCGGAGTCCTGTGTGCTACCTGACATCATAAATGACTGGGTTAAAGGACTAGATGGATTTAAAATTTTGAGGAGAAAAAAACTGGATGGGCCTGAACCAAAACCCAAAACCATTCCTGAATTTTGAGGAATTTTCTAGTTCCAAACTACAATTTGAGTCCATCCAGAAAAAAAGGGGGTGGGTGGGCATTTTTTATCCTGCTAAGCCCACATAAACCTGAGTTACTGTGAAGGTTGATATGTGAATATATGCCTTCCCACTCCCCACCCCCAAAGTTACATGTTAAGCCGCTGGTTCTCAACCAGGGGTACACATACCCCTGGGGGTACGCAGAGGTCTTCCAGGGAGTTTCATCAATTCATCTAGATATCTGCCTAGTTTTACAACAGGCTACATAAAAAGCGACACACTCTTACAACAGGCTACATAAAAAGCACTAGCAAAGTCTGTGTAAACAATGACTTGTTTATACTGCTCTATGTATTTACATTTCAGCGTATACTATAATATTTATATTCCCATTGATTTATTTTATAATGATATGGTAGCAATGAGAAAGTAAGCAAATTTTCAGTAATAGTGTGCTGTGACACTTTTGTATTTTTATGTCTGATTTTGTAAGCAAGTAGTTTTTAAGTGAGGTGAAACTTGGAGGTGCGCAGGACAAATCAGACTCCTGAAAGGGGTACAGTAGTTTGGAAAGGTTGAGAGCCACTGTGTTGAGCTTTCCAGGCCTAATGAAACTAAGCATGCTTGATTTCTTACTATTTGTTAGCTAAGTGAGCTGTAGCTCACGAAAGCTTATGCTCAAATAAATTGGTTAGTCTCTAAGGTGCCACAAGTACTCCTTTTCTTTTTGCGAATACAGACTAACACGGCTGTTACTCTGAAACCTAAAATACACAGCGTTCCTGTCCCCTAAAATTTCCAGTCTAAACTATATAGCAACAGTTGACAGGACACAGAGAAGGGAATAACTAGGATTTAGTTTTTGAGACAGAATCATTTTTTGTGGGCACTGCAAAAGAAGTTAATTTTCTAGGAAGGATTTGAATGAAGGGAATGTAATGGCTTGCCACATTGGAAATGGAAGAGTGTTTAGTGCATAGGGGGCTGTGTGGCAGAAGGAGATAAATTATGGCACGATTAGCACATAGATTCTTTTTATTGCTGCATTCCTAGGCACAAGCAATGTAATAGAAGCAGGATGGTTAATATAATCTAAAGTTTATCGTAAATCCACATTATCTGTTAGGTTTAATACAATTTCAAAGTTGCTAAAGTAAACCAGTGACTGTTAATGGCAATTATTTTAATGAAAAACATATTTCTGTGAAGTCTTCAGATTCTTTTTTCATTCATCTCTTAAGTGTAGAGGCTAGTGCTGAGTAGTCTTTAGTGGGAAACTCCACAGGATATCGTAGTACGTAGGAGGGTGCAGAAAGCTTCAGCTTTTCAACCGCACTAATGGTGAGCAGTGTACATTTGTAGAGAGATGTAACTTCCTTCTAGAGCCTGCTTTCCGTGTATTTGAATGGCTAGAAACCATAATTACTATTAATTTTGTTTGTTCCCAAGATGGAAATAATTAGCATAAGAAATAGCACAACAAAATACTAGCATTGTAATCTGGACAACATTCCCTGTCTTTGAAAAGACACCATTCAGAATCTGTAAGCAATTCGTGGACATCAGTAACCTTCATTGTACTAATGTTTACAATGGAACAGAAAATTTAAAATGTAAAGAAAAAGTTTTAATCCATGTCAAGCTAGTTGTAGTTGAAGGTGATTGGTTTTGAGAGATTTTGGCCACATCTCAGCAGGAACAAGGTAAACAGGTCCTTTTCAGTTTTAGATTCAAAACACAGCCAAAGCCATAGGAGTGTCTTTGGATCCTAGGTTTTGAATCCAGTTCATACATTCAGAGACATTGAGACTCTGGTTTTGCCTTATGGACTAGGATGCTCAGCCCACCTCTCCTGGCCAACCCTATAATAGCAAGTCACTGTAAACATGGCAAAGAGGATCCATTTTTTTGGCAAGGAAACAAATGTCAATTTCAGGCTTCAGGATTGGAGCCTGGGGGAAATTTGTTTTAGACAAATGAAAAAAAAATACTGTAACTTGACAGTGTCCTTTTAAGCTTGTGTCTTAAAACTAGTATCTATACTACAATCTGTTGCCATGGAAAAGACAGCAATATCCTTACTGAAAGCAGTTGGCCGTCTCCAGTGCTTATATGTGCCTGAGACAACAGGAACATGGGCTGCTATAAAAACAACAGAGAGAAAAAAAAGTGTAAATAAAAATCCAACCGTCAATATTATTAATATTGGATTTTCATCTCTAAGCCAAGCATTTACATAGGCAGGAGTGTAGCAAAAAGGTGCCACTTTCCACTTTGCCTTTCTTTTTTAACTTTGATCTTAAGGTTTTCATTAGCTATCTTCTTCTGATGGTAGTAAAACTAGAAATGCCAACTTGTAACAGGCTGAACTGAGAGGTTTGTTTAGATAAACAGACTTCTGGAATTCTGAAAAGAGGGTGTGTTGTACTGTAGGGATGAGTGGTACGTTTTCCCATGGTAACCGAAGGTGTGTGTAATATTTTTTTATTCCCTTGAAGATGCACCTGACCAGTGCTTTGAGGACTTCTTAGTGCTGCTTTCTTGATTTTATTTAATTTTAAAACCTGACCTTGAGACACATCTTTTTCTGTTGCTCAGAGACAATGTCTTCTTGAAAACCCATCTGCTGAATTTCTTCCAGTCGAAGATCACCATTCTCCATTTTTGGCTGAGAGGCTACAAATTCTCATAAGCCTCTGATGGCTGGAAGTCAGAAAGGAACTTTGTGTATGAGCAGGTTACACCAACCATTCTGTACGGTTTTGTACATCTTAATAGATGTTTCAGAGTACTGGCTACCGTGGGATATAAAATGCTGGACTAGATAGATCTGATCCACTGATCTGATCCAGGAAGGCAATTCCTATGTTCTGGAATGAGATGTGTTCTCTGATTGCTATCAGACAATCTGTTGGTGACTAGTTATGTTCCATTAATACTGAGGATTCAGAATGGGACACCATTTTTTGTAGAGTCATTTGAGACCCATAAAAATGTCTCTGTGAAATGATTGAGGACAAATTTTGCCCTAAGATACAAGCAAGTGCCACTAACAACAATGAAAGTTGGTGTGCATATCTTGAAGGCAGCAGTTGTCTCTGCGCACAACCTTTTGCTAACATCTTCAACCCAATGTAGTTATAATCTTTTACACAGATTTAAAGGGACACTGCCAAAGTTGATAAGTCAAATTTGGGACCTGGCTTCTTTTGTTTTCAATCTCAATGTAATTTCCTCATTCCCTCCTCCCTCCCCCCGGCCTTCCCCTGCCACAAAATAAAGTCTTTTTTACTGCTTTTATTAAAAGAAAAAATATCAGCATTCCAGTCCTGGTAAATAGCTGTACAATAAACAAACCAATATGCACAGCCCAGAGTTCATCAGCAGCCCTGCAATAAAGAATCCAACATGCACATTAGAGAGAATTACTCTTACTTATGAAACACTCTACACTTCCAAGTAGTTAGTATAAATAACAGAAGAAAGGGCTTTTTCAAATATATGAAAAATATCTTTACTGTGTCATTTCAATTACGTAGTTTATGTAATTTAACATTCTATGGGCTGGATTCTCCTTTCACCCTGGTGCAAATAAGAAATAACTCCATTAAAATCAAGGGAGTTGCACTGTTGCAAAACTGGTATGAGATCCAAATCAGCCCATTACTTTGAATTCTCTTGATTCCTGCATCCTGGATGGTGCTATCTTTAGCTTTTCTGAGATGATTTTTCACAAATCCATCATGGTTGTGCTCTGTCTCTAAATTCATGCTAATTGGCCAGATCACATTTGGCAGCCTAAGCAGCTTTGAAGTTGCAAGTAATACAAAATACGAGAAACTTTCATGCTGTGGAAAT